AACTGGAGCAGGTCTTCTGTGGATTCTATCCTGAGTCTAAATGCTGGAGGAGGCAACACGGATAACCTCACATGTAGCGGGACTGAGTAACTTTCTAACTGGTAATACACCCATGTATGATACGAGAATAAACCTATTCCCATGTTACTAGAGGTGCTTGGAAGAAACAGTGAGATGTACAAGTTTCCAGGGAACTGAGACCATCACAGCAATTTAATGTAGAGAACCTGATGCACAACATGGCGTCCTTACCTCTAACTTCAAGGGAGGCATGTATTCTATCTAATAGACTGAAATTTTGTATGAAACCTTACAGATGAGTTTATTCTAAATCAGGATTTCTATCATTTTATTCCGTAATATCGATGTAAAGTTTTTTGTTTTTTTTTTTAAATTAAAGTCTGAAGTGACTGGCTCATAGCCTGAAACGATGTTCGAAAAGTGGGCCTATTACACAAAAGCCATGTTGTTTCATCCACAACCTATACACTGGTGGAGATGTTCATTGATGTGTCTGAGGACATTTGAACGTCCATAAAAAAAATGTGATTTCCAAGATCATTTGCCTAATAATTTTTCTGTGGAAGAAAAAGAATCCTTAAAATCTTTGAGCAAGAGAACAGATATAATTGTGAAATTGGCAGATAAAGGGAATTCTCTAGTGGTAATGGATCATCTAAAACAATGATCTCCAAACTGTGGCCTGCAGGCCAGATGTGGCCCTTTGCCTGTGTTGACCTGGCTCTTGGATCACTATTCCTCATACTGACTGCAATAATGTCCCAATGATGCTGATCCTGGGGCATTGTTCCTCCCATTGGTACCAACAATGGGGCACTATTCTTCCCACTAATACAAATGATGGGGCATTATTTACCCCAACTGACATTTTGTACTCCTACTGGCCTCAGTCTGGCCCTTCTGAAGTCTGGGGGATAGTTAACTGGCCCTTTTGTTTTGAAAGATTGCAGACCCCTGACCTAAAATACAAGAATATTATTCCTAAACAATTGTTGGATACTTCAGGATATAAAAAACTGCAAGGTGATCCTTCCGAAGAGGAATGTTTGCTATAGAACGTTTTGGTTTTCTGCAGACTGATCAGCTAAGGGCTACCCACATTGTTCATTTTCCAAAAAATTCATAAACACTTTCTGATTGCTCCAGGTCACCTGTTTTGGGAAGAGGTCAGCATTTGTTCCTGATTTGGATCAATTGCTAGTACATTAGGGCAAAAGACTGGCCTATAAGACTTTAAAAGGTTGAAAGAAGTGACAGAGAATGTGTCTGGGTTATTATTAGTGACATGGGATGTGTCCCGCTTATACACATCAGTTGATCAGGTACAGGGTATTGATGCCTAACAAAATCTAATGAAAGCAAGGGAGTTGTTCTCAGAGAAACAAATTAATTGGTTCAAAGAACTGTAGTTCATTAATTATTTTGTTTTTGAGGAAGTGTTCTATCTACAAATCAAAGGGGTTGCAATGGGATCCAATGTCACCCTGTCATTTGCAGGGGAATTTATGGATCAATTTGAGGCCAGATTCATATATTCCCATGAAGCATTTGCCAGACACTCTTATATTTGGAGGTGCTTCATTAATGATGTCTTTGCTTTGTGGTGTGGCAACATTGGATCACTATTGTCCTTTAACCACTTTACAACCGCGCTATAAGCGAATGATGGCTATAGCGTGGTTGTCCAGTTCTGGGAGGGCATCATATGACTTCCTCACAGAACACGCCCCCAGCTGCACGCACCCAGCGCTGTCAGTGATCGTTGTATCCTATAGAGACAGCTGATCACATGAATAGGTAAAAGGCCAATCACAGCGGCCTTTTACAACATGATCAGCTGTGTCCAATGACACAGTAAATACAGTTGCCGATTATTGGCAGCACTTTCCTTACGCTGTCACACCGTGAGGAAAGTACTGATGATAACCTGCAAATGTCAGAGAGGACATTCGCACTGATAATCAGGGCACTGATTATCTGTGCCGCCAGTCAGTGCCACCTATCAGTTCAGCATCATCAATGCACATGAGTGAAGGAGAAAAATTACCTGTTTGCAAAATTTTATATTAGAAACAAAAACTTTTTTTTTTTTTCACATTCTTTTGCACTTTTTTTTTGTTTATAGTGCAAAAATAAAAACCCCAGTGGTGATTAAATACCACCAAAAGAAAGCTCTATTTGTGTGAAAAAAAAATTATAAAAATGTCATAATGGTCCAATGTTGCATGACCGCGCAATTGTCATTCAAAGTGCAACAGCACTGAAAGCTGATAATTGGCCTGGGCAGGAAGGGGGTAAAAGTGCCCAGTAGACAAGTGGTTAATGATGAAATAAATTCTTGTATTTAATTTAAATATTAAAAGATTACCTTTATGGCATACAACAAAGGTGGGATGTTACATACTGACATTTATATAAAACCAGCAGTTAATAACCATGTTTTGTTATTTAACCTCCCTGGCGGTATGATTATTTCAGATTTTTGGCGCTGAAAGCGGTAAATTTTTTTGCATGGAAATATGTATTTTTTTTTTATTGTAGGCCTGTACTTTTTAGGAATAACTCAGTGAAATCTGTCCGAACAAGAGTCTAGTAAACATCCCGGGTATGATAAAACTTGAAATACGAAATCAGAAATTATAATTTAATAAATAATCATAAAAAATAATAGAGTAAATTTAATTCAATAATATAATCAAACCAAAAACACTGAAATTTGAAATATAGCGCCAATTTCGCACATCACTGAGCAAAGTCGCAAGATTGTTTTCAGTGTCTGATGACGAATTTCCCCCACAAATCATTATCACTCAATTCTGCAAGTGGTTCTGATTTACTATCGCTGTTCTCTAGCTGGTCTAAACCCGGTTTTGACCTAAAGAGACGCTTTTTGGACGCCATGGACATTTCTCAGTTTCCAGGTAGAAAGAACAGTAAAAATGCAGGCAGGGCACAGGACAAAGCACTCGGGACAAAATGTATGTGAAATGGTTTGTTACAGTAATGTTTTACTATGTGATTTTTGTGAATGTCACTTTTTGCCATTTTCAAATTTCGCGCCGTTCCGTCCCCTGTACGTCCCGACACTCGCAGAGGACAGAACCCAGATGACAGATGCTGGCATCCGCCGGATAACATTGCCGGGGACTCTGCAGGAGGGATATCGCGGGAGCGCAGGACAAGATAAGTGAACGACGGGTCGCGGAGCAGCGCCGCATGGTAAGCCCGAGTGTAGCTTGTGGTTACCGCTTGTGGTACTGAAACCTTACCCGGGGGTAGCTCAGGAATACCGCTAGGGAGGTTAATAGCCTTCCTCCACCAAACACATTTCAATCTGTTGTGAAAAGCCAGTTTATGAGAGTACATTATATTGTCAGTGAGGAAATGTAAAAGTGAAAAGTTACAATAGATGCAAAAAGATATCCTAAAGACTTAGTGGAATCAGGGAGTAAACACTTGGAGTGGAATGAGAGCAGGGAAAGTGAGGTATAAAATAGAAAATAAAATAAAATGTAAAATGAAATGGATCCTCTAACTAGACGTTCCACACACATACAGTGGGGAAAATAATTATTTGGTCCCCTGCAGATTTTGTAAGTTTGCCCACTTACAAAGAAATGAAGGGTCTATAACTTTTATCATAGGTGTATTTTAAATGATAGAGACAGAATATCAACAAAAAATCCAGAAAAACACATGTATAAAAATGTTAGAAATTGAGTTGCAGTTCAGTGAGTAAAATAAGTATTTGATCCCCTACCAACCAACAATAATTCTGGCTCCCACAGACTGGCTATGTGCTCATGTGGCACACAGACTAGACCTGTCAATTTAAGAAGGTTTTCCTAATGACAACTCGTTATGTGTATAAAAGACACCTGTCCACAGAATCTCTTTATTCCATTCAAACCTCACCATCATGGGCAAAGGGCTGTCAATGGACGTCAGGGACACGATTGTAGACCTGCACAAGGCTGGAATGGGCTACAAGACCATCAGCAAGAAGGTTGGTGAGAAGGAGACAACTGTTGGAACGATTATTCACAAATGGAAGAAATACAAAATAACCATCAATTGCCCGCGGCCTGGAGCTCCATGCAAGATTTCACCTCATGGGGTACTGTTTTTCAAAGCTTTTGTAAACATTTACACCTGAGCAGACAAATGTAACTATTTGGGAAAATACAATCAGGTCCATATATATTGGGACATCGACACAATTCTAAAATTTTTGGCTCTATACACCACCACAATGGATTTGAAATTAAACTAACAAGATGTGCTTTAACTGCAGACTGTCAGCTTTAATTTGAGGGTATTTACATCCAAATCAGGTGAACGGTGTAGGAATTAAAACAGTCAACTCCTGGAAAGGCTACACGTCTGTGAAATAGAAACTCTTCACACCAGAAGTCCAGTGTCTAATATCCTACTTTATCAGTTTTTCAAAAGTAAACACTAAAAACATCCGTTCTTTATGTTGTTAGTATTTATTAGATTTTTTTATTATTAGATATTTATTTGTGTGTGTGTGCATGTATAATACATACAGACATTCTTTTGGAATGTTTATTGGGCACATGGCATAGAATTTATTTATTAGCTGCTTTTTGAGCCCAGACAAAAAAAATCCCACTCACATCATCCACTCCAACTTTCATAGCAGGAGTCATTGAGTAAGTGCGAAATTCCCTAATATTGCACTTGGCCTTGCCCAGTGCTGCCCTCACCATCTCTTCTGTAACAGGCACCACATTCAGACGTGCTTCTCCTGCTAAGTAATAAGACTCTTCTAAAGCCCCAATCCACAAAAAATGACCCTGTGGCTTAAGGATTCCAACTACATTTTCAAGGGCTTTCTGAAAAGCTTCAAGGTCCGGGCTGCATGCCTCAAGGCAAAAAGAGGATACCAGACAGTCCACTGAACCACTGGCAAGTTCCTTTCCAAGGGGGCAAGGCTGATGGATATCCAAGGGTATCACTCGTGTTACCTTTTCCCGAAAACGCCTTTCTTTGTTTTGCCATGACTCCCTGTGGAGGAAAAAGTATAAATATATGTTTAGGAAATCTGTTGCTAAAAAAGACCTATTTTATAGCCAATTTCACCTGTTTGTTGAAGAGGAATTCCACAGAGGCTTTGAGTGGCAGCAAGTTTATACCATTTCCACAAATACCCCTGTTCCTTCACTCTTCCAACAGTTAGAGACATTTATGTTTTTTATGGATGTTAGAGGCTTTCTCATACCCACGGTATGGGGAGAACACTACTATGGAATTACATTTGTACTTACATGTGACAGACCCAACTGGACAGGGGCTTTTGGATGGGACTGCAGGCTAGCCTCCTGGCTACTGACCATGGGCCCTGGAATGTGAGGGGGCTCTATTCTTTGGGAACTGTGTGCCTGGGGGGGATCTGTGGAGTAGTTTTACTTCGGATTCAAGTCTATGTCTCCCAGAAACACAGACTTTGAGAACTGGAGGACCAGGATACAGATTTGGGGTCTCTGTGCCCAAACCAACATTGACTGCTTCAATCCTCCTCCTAGATGTAGAGAAGATGTTAATATAATCAGCTCAAAACAACCTGATGCTGAGGTCTCTTGCTGTAATCAGTTTATTAAGGTGTGATGTGTTTACCTTTTGTGTATTTGTCCCATTGTTAATTGAGTCACCTATTGTTTCTGTTGGCTAGTCCTCCTGACTAGCTCCTGGCTAGTTCCTACATGATGGGATTAGTCGTTTGTCAGCTTTACATTGTCATCTAATCAGTGTGGGATTGTTCATTTAGGAAATGCCCCTATGTTTGAAGTGTATAAAAACCTGTATTTCTGTTCAATAAAGAGTTCCAGTTTTTCTCCTTAAGCTAGTGTCGTCTAGTTCTTGGGTGCAATGCCCAGCTATAATACTTTGATCTTGTGTCCCAGCAGCGAGGTAGCAGTTCTCTGATAGAAGCCCCAGGTAGGGTGCTGGACAGTCCATCACATTACACTGTAAAACTGTATCTCAGGGCAGACGTTTTTACACACCTGGTCTCCTTACTAAACCTAGAAAATCACTTAAAGCGGAGTTCCACCTGAAAAAAAATAAATAAAAGTCAGCAGCTACAAAAACTGTAGCTGCTGACTTTTAAAATACAGCCACTTAACTGTTCCTCGGTCCAGCGGTGTCCTCACCACAGCTGGTTTCACCGGCAGTCTTTCTCTCCCTGGCACCGGCATCTTCAGTGTGGGCACCCGGGTGAAGCTGGGTGCCCACTGCACATGCACGAGAAGCGCTGCACTTTGTGAATGGCTCAGTAGTCTTCTGGGACCTGTCACGTGTCCCACAAGACTACCGGGAAAGAGGGGGGAAGGACAACTTCTGCTTCCGATTGTCTTAGGCGATCGCAGTGAAAGTGGGTGTGGGTACCTGTCAATTTCGGGTACCCGCTCCCCAAAGGTGCCAATCCTTAATGGGGAGCGGGGGACAAAGACTTAAAGTGGAACTTCCCCTTTTGGGTGGAGCTCCGCTTTAATTTTGTAAGTAAAATGCTTTACAGTTCTCTTTAGAGCACTACTAGAACCCCACTTAATAATTCAAATTTCAAGTGCCCCTGTGCTTACACTATGGACATTAAACCTATTATGTATTCTAACAAGCAGGAAAACATGCCATCCCTGACCTCCCTAGATTCTTTGTGAAATTATTCATTCCTAAAGATCACAACAAAAACTCTTAGGCCCCATTCACATCTGGGTGTTTTGTAGCTCAAAGTGCCAAAACGCTTAACAAGCCAAATCCCATTTCTATATGTTTATATTTGAGCATTTTGTTACCTGAAGCGCAATTGTTGCTGAGAAAAGTACATGAACTACTTTTCGCAGAAACTGGAGCATTTTTGGCCCCATAGACTTTAATGGAAAGGCATCAAAACATATCATGCTTTTTAGGAGTGTTTTGTCACACATTTTTCAGCCAAACAGCAACTTTCTACCCCTAATTCCTTCCCCCTCATGCTTTCTATTGGCTGACACAAAAACACTTGAAGCTTGAATATACATGTAATTACTGTATCTCGTAAATTTCTCTAAAACATGCAATAAAAAGTTTTGAAAAAAAAAATCACATTCTGCATTGACCACATTACTTGAATATGGTAATTAATGGCTGACCATAGTTATCCAACTGCTATAAACCGTAGATCTGACCTTTGGATACACTTTTATTCTTTAGTGAATGTTAATAAGGAGTGTCAGTCTTCTTACCCTTTTCCCTCCAATTTACAAACATATTCAAAGTATGGGCTCCAGTCAAAGGTACCAGGCTCCTTCTTAAGCCACTTCCTCAGTTCTTCTCGGTTCACCTCCAGATAATCAGTCATGATAACCTCCTTGAAGTGCTCAAAAGCGCTCAGCAACTGGTAAATCGTAGGACCCGAACCAATGTCCACTACGATGTGACCTTTAATTTCACCTGCGTATAATTACAAAGTTCATGTCAAGATATTGTAAGGAACAATGCATTTCAGTTTTTTTTATGTAGGACAACAGGCAAGTACTAATTATAACACACCAGTTTACTATCTCCCAGATACAAATATATACTTTTACTATAAAGATATGTAACAAACACATTACGAAGGCAGTTATCATGATTTGTTGAGACAGTATGTGCTTTGAAGTATGTTGGGCATGTAAACAGGTTGTGCCAATCAGAAGTGAATCTTGCATTTTTAGACCTTAGAATTCATATTCATTGGAGAGAGATGACTTGGCGGTGGCTTTGTTACATTCAATAAGATGAAAAAGATTACTTGAATTTAAAAGTAGATGTATTTATTGTTCACTCATAAATCTTCTATCTGTAGTTATGGACAGGAAAAGAATTTCAAAATACTAGCTAGATGGTATAGAGACCCAGTTACCCTAAATCGGTATGTCAGCTGAGTGTTGGAGATGCAGACAGGAGAGGGGCACATACCTACAAATCTGGTGGGAGTGTTGGAGACTCAAACCATTCTGGTTAATGATCTTTAACATATACTGTACAATAAGAAATATAATGAGTCTATAACCCCTCTCCAGAAATTGTGTTATTTTCCATTCTCCCGGACTTATTTGCCTCCTAAAAAAGATGTCTACTCAAAGATTTCCTATCTGCGGCTAAGAAAGAAATCCCCTACCACCCCTCCTCTGACAATTTGGATTTATACATTGAATGACATAATGCGACTCAGTTCAGTGAAAACAAGAGCATAAATCCCCAGAAAGTCTGCATGTAAAATTAAGACTCCTATCACCTTCTCACCATTAAAGGCAGGGTCCTCAATAGCCAAAAAAAAAATAGAGTAAACACAAATTATGGAGGTCTAAAGAAGACACCCCCCCCCCCTTAGAAAGTGTCTATAAGTGAGGACCAACCATGGTATAACAGAGTATCATGCTTTATTAAGGTATACATATGAAAAAAAATTCTGCATAAATCGAATGTATTAAACATTAACCTTACTCCAAACACCATTAAAATCAAATTGACAATGTTGTCACCTTAAAAACAGAAGCACGGACCACCCATACAACACACATCCATGGCGGTCATTGGCGATTACACATTGTCCTTTAGCGCTGCATATTTTATACTTATATACAACACACATCCATGCACCACTATTAAACTAATTCTAAATAATGTTCGGACCATCTAGTATGGAGTGATCCACTTTAGGTTCAAAGCTAACTGTTGTAACCATTTAGAGTCATTAATTCCTTGTACAGGACAGTAATGGCATTGTGTAGTCCTTACTTGGTCACATAAGTGACTTTTATCCACTTAGGACGTAGCCATTGGAAGCAGTCATCAAGGGAGTGACTCTGCTGTTATGCAGATGGTGGCAGATACTCCCAGTTTTCTACATTCAGCAGACTCAATAATGATAGGGTCCTTTAGACATTTCATATTTTTTCCATTCACATGTAGACATCATCCATCTGCCAGTGTCCCATTAATAACAATCATACAGTCAAGTATCAGCGTTAGGCAAGCAGGTAATATAGAGCATTAGCAAAGCAGGGGTTGCAGTCAGGGCCGGATCTAGGGGGGTGCTGGGGTGGGCTGTGCCCACCCAGATTTTAGCTGTGCTCCCCCCAGATCTCCTAGAATGCATCCACTAATCCATGAGCCAGTCTGATGCAGACTGTTGATGTAAGGAGGCACACAGATGGGTACAATCCATATAAGGGGAGCACACTGATGGGGACACCTGATGTAAGGGGGCACTCTGATGTGGACTCCGATAGGGCACCTGATGTGATGGGGCACCTGATGTAAGGGGGCACTCTGATGGGGACACCTGATGTAAAGGGGCACTCTGATGGGGACTCTGATTGGACACCTGAAGTAAGGGGGCACTCTGATGGGGACACGTGATGTAACGGGGCACTCTGATGGGGACTCTAATAGGACAGCTGATGTAAGAGGGCATTCTGATAGGGACCCTGATGTAAGTGGGAATTCTGATAGGGACCCTGATGTAAGGGGGAACTCTGATAGGGACCCTGATGTAAGGGGGCATTCTGTTGGGGACAGTTGATGTAAGGGGGAATTCTGATGGAGGTACTCTCATAGGGACACCTGATGTAAGGGGGCAAGCTGATGGGAACTAAATGTTAAGGAGGACTCCTGATTAAAGAGGGCCTCTGATAGGGACATCTGATATAAGGAAGACAGGTTCTCTGTCAGCCTGATACATACTAGTGTTTCCTAGGTCGTGACACTGACAGACTCACTCACACAGTGTTGGCATTATGTCCCCTGACTTTTTTCACTGCACCCCCAGACCAGATAGGGTAGATCCGGCCCTGGTTGCAGTTGAGTATTAGCAGGGTAGCAAGAGCTCTGTCCCTTATTTTCATCCCTGTACTACTCCTTCAAAGCTCATATGCCATCTTTCAACCCATGCCCGGAGGCTCTCATCACTCCTGGGTCTGGTTGTAATCAGATTCCTGCTCCTCCCAATGGGTCTGTGCTTTGTAGTGATATAACCAGTCATTATGAGCTATTGAAAATCAAGCATCACATCTCTGGGTGCATGTCCATGAAGTGCCAGGCTCAGATGAGTGAAGCCCATGCTTGTTGACGCTACGTTGCTAAGCAAGAAATCCCCTACCACCCCTCCTCTGACACTTTGGATTTCAACAGTGAATGACATAATGGAGGAGATGTTAGCAACGGACTCAGATTCGTACTATAAATTTTAAAATGTAAAGTATATGTGGATCCACTTTACATAATCTAACACCTTAAAAAAACATAGTCTCCGCTCAGGCACCCACTCTATTTCACCCAGCTCTGCCTGCCCCCTCTACATACAACAAGGATACATTTTCTGGTCTTAGTGACCATTCATGAAATTCCCTTTCTTAACCCCCTTTCTACTGTGTACTTCCAGCTACCTCTTTAATGGCTACCCCAGATCTACATATTCTCTTTGTTCTTTCCTCAATCTCCCCTAGTATTAGGGTCATCTGCCCTTTTACTTTGTTCTTCTTACTTTCCTTCTTCTCCAGTCCATCTTGAGTCTGAACAGTACAACTTTTTTTACAGCCAACAGGAGGCATCCCACCCTCCTAATATATTTACCCTTGCCAATTACTATCAGCCTCCCCAAAATTCGGGGTCTGGATGTGCCTTAATTGTACTACTTATGTTTGAAATGCTATTTTTGAATATACTCCATACACCCGTTATTTAAATGTCTTTATTTCATTATCTGACCACTTTTCAATTAAGTAGGGATGCTGCTTTCATGTATAAAATGCACATTGAGGGGCATTTACTAAAGCCGGCCATAGACGGTTCGAATCTTGGCTGGTTCAGCAGGGACTAGCCAAGATTCGAGCCATGCGTAGGCAAGCTGAATGTACCCTAATTGATCAGCTTGGGTACAACCAGCCTGTCTGATTTTACATGCAATTATTGCTAACGGCTATTATAGCCGCTAACAGTAATTGCTGTGCTGATGCCCCCCTGCCGGGAAAAATCCAAAGCTCCGCGGGATGGATTTCCCCATCAACTTGGACTGTGTTATTGGGGGAATTGAGCGATTTTCTTTCCTGCAACCCATCTATGGCTGGCTTAAGGCTTAATGCACACTGGGAATTTAGCCCGCGTGTAAACATTCCAGTGTTTTCACAGGAAAAAAATGGAGTGTTTTCAGGCTGAAAAATGCAGAGGCTGGATTGTGCACTGAGTGGTGCTAACATTTAGTGCATTATGCACCCAGGGATGAATGCTTGGAATGCAAGAAGTCTGCATTCCGGGCATTTATGCCAGGCATATAAAAAATGCCTTTTAGGGCCCTGAGTGCATAAACCTTTATTCACTATCAGCAAATAGTGTATCTTTCCCCATGAATCTATTCCAACAAATGTCCCACTACAATATTGGAATTTATTACAAATCTGACACATTTAGGAGTTGATAATTGCTGTATACTTTTCCCCATGACGCAGGCAAAATTTTTGGCAAAACCAAGATGTGATTCCCTGTTTTAACCTACTAATCCAAAGTACATGATCTGATACTTTATTTTCCAATATTTCAAAGCTACAACATGAACCATTCAAACTATCAATTATATATTATTTATCATTAGTTATTATACTTTTATCAATAATATATTTGTTAACAAAATTGTGTCTGGAACAGGGGCGGACTGACAACTCATGGGGCCCCCGGGCAATAGGGGATCATGGGGCCCCTGTGTCCTTGCCCAAACTCAGAAAAGCCTATGAAAAGGGTACCAGGGGCATCTCATGGGGCCCCCTACTGACCCCGGGACCTCGGGCAGTGCCCGAGTTTCCAAATGGTCAGTCCGCCCTTGGTCTAGAACACAGCGGAACCTTCTTCAATTTCATTTTTTTAATCAGGGTGAGAGATTCTGTTTTGCTGGTGCCGTAGTCCTCACAATAAATAGGACACAACCAGGTCATTTCTGTCTGGATTTAAATTGAGCGACTCAAGACTCCCTCAGTGCAGAGTAAATGGTTTATTGTAATTCTAAATTATAGTTTTATGTGTCCAGGAATACCAAGCAACTTTACAAATTTAAACTGAAAACTCTGCTTTTTCAAGGATAGGGTTAACACAGGTGTTAAACTGGCGGCCCTTCAGCTGTTGCCAAACTACAAGTCCCATAAGGCATTGCAAGATTGACAGTTACAAGCATGACTCCCAAAGGCAGAAATATGATGGGACTTGTAGTTTCGCAACAGCTGGAGGGCCACCAGTTTGACACCCCTGTTGTAAGACATTAAGCATGGCTCCCAACTGTCCCTGATTTTGAGGGACTGTCCCTCATTTGGAACAAAGTCCTTATGTCCCTCCTCCATCATTTGTCCCTCATTTTGCTCTGATCTATGTTGTATTTAAAATGCACTATTTATCTATTAACCACTTGCCCTCCTTAGGATTTA